CATCTTAAATTAATTCTTTGTTACTGTAAAGGTATACAGCTCCCTCTATCCAAGCACCTTTATCCTTAATAATGTCCAATAATTCATACCCCACAGACCACAATGAAAGGTTTCTGATGGGAACGCTAATTACAAGCGTAGCCGAAGCTCAAGTCTGATAGGGATTTGTACAAAGTTAGGAACTTTTAAAGTTTATACCTTTTCTATCTTTTAATATTTTTAATTGATGTCTGCATTTTCAAACATTATTTATAAAATGAATAAAAAATAATTGGCCAATTCTACCCTAGAGTGCTCATTTAACAGTGCCAACCTAACCCAAAAGCAATAATTGTTAATACATGACGAGTGCTTAATATTATAATACACAGACCAATATCTTGCTTGATGACTTATTTTTTCTTGAAAGTGTATTACATTTCTTGATTATTAATGGTGCCATTATTTGTCCCATCAAATGTCATCCATTTACAACATCCCATTTTAGTTATGGTATGTTCTTCATTACATGATAGACACTTGCATGATATATTCAGATGCTGCATCATCCAACATGATTTATACATAGCATAATCATGGCAGCCCAGTCTAAATTCAAGTAATAAATCGTGGAGATCTGAGATATTTACTGTGGGGGGTATTATAATTACTTTGGAAGTTTTATGATCATGAGTGTCATAATAAATCAGAAATTGCAATCGGTGTGCACATAAACGAAAGAAATACTAGGCTCGGAGTGAAATTTAGACATGATTAATGCGTTAACTAAAGATACACACATTTACATCGCTAAAAATACAAAACACCCCAGCCACATAAAACAAAGATATATATGAATTACTCATGCAATAAATAAAAATGTTTAACCCCATATTAGAGAATACTGAATAATATATGGATTTCTTGCAGTCTATATATTTTTCAGTATTTGCTTTTTTTATTTTACACATATATATATATATATATATATGAACTGATTTCCTCCAGAAAAGAAACCGTATTTATTTTGGTTAATTGCATTTCGAGCTCAAAGAATGTTCATTGTTAAATTCAGATTTTTTTTTTCCTTAGATTGTTTTTTACATTATTGATCGTGTTTGCATACCCTGAGATAAGTTAATAACGTTCAAGTTAAGGTGGTAATAGTGTCTTCACTAATAGGATTAGAAGCCCAGGTCTTTCACTGTCTGTTAAGCCCAGGTCATTCAACAAATGAATATTAATCATGGCATTTACATGCTTTAGAATCATAACAATTCTATGTTCATTAATTGTTCATGCCCCATACACAGGTCTACAAATCATTTCTTTTTCATATATTATTTATGTGTGAAAGTACCTGATAAACCCAGCGCAGTTGAAGGACAGCAAAAGAGTAAAATATTTAACTAAACATATAAAAGTATTTGCAGTTTTACTATATATATATATATATATATATATATATATATATATATATATATATGTTAAAAAGAGAGGTGATGTTATATATTGCACATGTATAAAGTATACGTCAGTCAATTCACAAGTGAAGACCTTGATATCCTTGCAATATCACATGGTAATGTTGTGATAAATATATAGTATCAGTTCCTCAGCACAGAAAATAAATGCCCCACAGATTTATTCTACCTTACACTCAGTGGTCCATCTCACATTTATACTGTAAAGCATTTATTTTCTACAGTTTTGTGGCAGCTCTCCATCTCCCAATCGTTCCTCCGCAATACAGAGACTCTACTGCATCAAATGTCTACCAATGAATTTTGTCTTAAATTCCTCAGTGCTATGGTGCTTGTATGTGACTTTGGGAAAGTAAACTAGATATCGGCACTACTTCCTTCCGTACATATATCAATATGGAAGCAATTTACATGAAGTAGAATGGATCTGCATGTACAGTAAGCATAGTTTATAATCTATAAATTACCTGGAATAACATAAATATTAACACTCCAGATATAAACACAACTTAAGTGCATTTAGTATGGTTTAGCCTCATGTTTTTGATTTAATAAAGTACATACTTTACTTTCTCCAGCTTCTGCATTGTTTTATTTTGCAGGGTTAGAAGGACAGGGCCACTTCACCCAGACCACTTAATTGAGATGAAGTGGTTTGGGTGACGTTAGTGCCTATTTAATTAATTTAAACTGGAGACAACTACATTCTTGTCTCTTTTACTCTCCTATCAGACTTATCTTTTCTTCTTCAACTATCTTTGCAATGACCACTAGCAAATGAAATCCATAAATATATTCTTTTTTTCAAAGAAACTGCCTTGTGTGCTTATATAAATTCAACATAAATAGGTTTCATGCAATCAAACTTTTTACCAGCAGAAAATCCATTTCATGGACATGCTTTGAGAGTATCAGTCCTCCTATTAGAGCGATCTAATATTTCAACTTGGCTTCTGCAAGGTATATCAAGAAAATAAAAGCAGAACTAGCCCTAATTCTATGCTACATAAAACCATGGATAGATGGATGGATTGACAGACGAACGGCATAACTTTTTCTTGTACAATAACTTTACAGTATATGTCACTGTTCTTCCTTACTCACCCTGGCAACTACACTGTTTCCTTTTTATTTATTTACAGTTCCTCTTGCTATATCCTCTTTTTATTAGATTCTACCTCTTCCCGTCTTACTAATTCTTTATCATCCACTCCAGTTTTATCCACAATATACATTTAGTTTAGAAAAACGTCGCCTGAGAGGGGATATGATAACATTATACAAATATATTCGGGGCCAATACAAACCATTGTGTGGAAATCTATTCACAAACCGGACTTTACATAGGACACGAGGCCATGTGTTTAGACTGGAAGAAAGAAGATTTCGTCTAAGGCAAAGGAAAGGTTTTTTACTGTAAGAACAATCAGGATGTGGAATTCTCTGCCTGAAGAAGTGGTTTTATCAGAGTCCATACAGATGTTCAAACGGCTACTAGATGCATACTTGCAAGAACAGAATATTCAAGGATATAATCTTTCAATGTAGGGTAATAACTGCTTCATCCAAAGATAAATCTGACTGCCATTCTGGGGTCAAGAAGGAATTTTTTTACTAGCTTGTTGCAAAATTGTGCTTCAAACTGGGTTTTTTTGCCTTCTTTTGGATCAACAGCAATAAACAAATGTGAGGTAGGCTGAACTTGATGGACGCAAGTCTCTTTTCAGCTATGTAACTATGACTATGTAACTATTTCTATCTCTCTTTTTTTATTATATTTTCTTTACCTTCTGCAAACATACTACCATTGCACTATTCCTAAAAAATCCCTCTTTTGTCCTAAACATTGTATAAATACCTTTATATTTTCCTTTTCTCTTGTTCAATTTTTTTGTATGGGTTGTATATGAGTAGTTTTCCAAATATTTTTAATCTATTCATTTTGACTTCCACTCTCAGCACTCTACAGAGACTGATCTAGTTCTTTGTTAACTTCATCTCTTTCTCAGTTACATTTCTTTCTTTATATTCCTTATTCCTTATATAATCTCTTCCAGTACTCTTTAAGTAAATACTCTTGAGATGTATCTTCCTCCTTTAATTCCCTTTCACTTGTGGTTTCATAAGGTTCTAATCTGAAGAACCTTCTGATTTTTGCTCTACATTATCTACTGGGAATCTGATATGAGTTTCTTTGGTTTCCACTTTTGCATATGCAAATTGAATCCTGACTTAACTCTATTATTCTGATATTCTCCTCATGAACTAGACCATTCATCTTCCATCTCTGCCTGAATTTCTACCCACTGACACTGAAACTCAGTCTTTTTTTTCTTCAATGTTTATTTAAGATTTATAATTTTCTTATCAATTTACAAACAAAGACAAAAACACAACAGGATAAATTATCCCACACAGGGTAGATAAAGAAAACAGCAATATGGTAACCAAGAGGTAGAAATCACAGAAGTGTTATAGAGACTTCCTGAAAAGAGCTCATGGGAAGGACAAACAAGCAGTGCAAATCACTCTGTAGTATATTTAATACCCCAGTACAAAAAAAACAGTTTGTTTTTGTACTGGGGTATTAAATATACAGTGTTACACTTTACTATGTTTCCTTGTATTTAAGGTATACCCATTACACTACGTAGTTCAACATTTATATAGACAAGGTTGACCACCTCCCCCCCAGCGACTATTACTATCTGCACCTATATTAGATGTTTTACCGAAAGGACTGATTAATTTTATTTTAGTACCTTTTATTGTCTAGAACTGTCCCTAATCACCCCTAAAAGACTCTGGTTAGAAGGAAGCATGCAACCGCTGCCTTAGCCATACCTTAGGTGGAGGATTGACTGTGGGTTGCAAGGGATCCTTATTTAGTGTTAAACTGTTAAACTGATAGAAAATTATTTAACACTGAATGGAGGGATAGTGCCAGGGCACTCAAGGCATGATGATCAATTCAATGATGTGAAAGTGCCCCTTTGGTAGAATGAGGTGCATTTAAAAGAACAATTCTTGTAGAAGAAATGAACCTCAATATTTATATAAATATGTATCTGGCACAGCACAAAAAGACAGTTTAATACATTGTATTGCATTATCTCCTGCTAAGACCAATCACCCGAGAAGTACACATGCTCAGCGTTAGCTTTTTTCTCAGGCACAGTATGGTGGCAACATCACACCTTACATTGTAATATAAGCCTCAGGTTTTACTAGCGAGCAAATAATCTGTGAGTGGTCGGTGTCTTTGCAAAGGGTCGTTATTTGCAATCAGCTGGAAAAAAAAAGTGACAAGGTTGAAATCTTGTTGATAAATAGTAGACTTTTTCCACCTACCAGGTATTTTTTTTCTTTAACATTGCATTTTTTATTTTTATATTTTTATTTAAACAGTGCAATTCAACAAAAAATAAAAAAATAAAGATACACTATAAATATCTGGAATGCATATAGCAAGCTTCCTTAACAGGAAGTACAGAAATGGCTAACCCGTTTAGATTAACATGGAACGTTTAAGTTAGTTCAGTCGACTTCCTCTATTCTAGAAGAGTCTTCATCTCCTTCAAGGGGAGGCATTTCTTCTGTTACTGGTTGATTTAACTCTTCAGTTGTAGAATCGTCTTCATCAATACCTAAACCAAGTTTAATCATTCTGTAGATTCTGTTGGAGTGTGTCTGTGGGTCCTTAAGGCAGAAGCCAGAAGATAGGAGGGCAGTTTCGTATGGCAATATAACCAAGTCCTTTACAGACTTGTCATTCTTGTCAGCGTCAGCCTTCTGTCGTAGTGTTTCAATTATCGAGTGATCTGGGTTGATCTCAAGGTGTTTCTTTGCAGCCACGTAACCCGTTGTCAAATTGTCCCTTAATGCCTGAGCCTTCATGATACGCTCCATGTTTGCTGTCCAACCGTACATGCTTGTTACAATGCAGCAAGGAGAAGTGACAAGTTTGTTTGACACCACAACCTTTTCCACTTTCTTTTCTAGAATGTCCTTCAAATTTTGCACAAGTTTTCAAACGTTGATTTATTTGCCTCCTGTTTCTTTTTCTCTTCCTCATCTTCTGGAAGTTCCAACCCGTCTTTTGTTACAGAGACCAGTGTTTTGCCTTCAAACTCTTTAAGCTGCTGTACACAGTACTCATCGATTGGTTCAATCATATATATTACTTTAAGACCATGTTTCCTTAGCCTTTCCACAAATGCAGAGTGTGCCACTTGCTCTTTTGTTTCACCTGTAATGTAATAAATATGTTTTTGGTTCTCCTATTCGTGTGCAGTAGTCTTTAAGGGAGACCATTTCATCAGCAGATGCTGAAGTGTAAAATCGCAATAGTTCTGAGAGTTTGTTACGGTTTTGAGAGTCTTCATGAATACCAAGCTTTATGTTCTTTGAAAACTGCTCATAGAACTTTTTGTAGTTTTCCTCATCCTCCGATAGGTCAGTGAAGAGCTCAAGACATTTTTTTTACCAGGTTTTTCCTGATAACCTTTAAAATTTTACTCTGCTGCAACATCTCTCTGGAAATGTTCAGTAGGAGATCCTCAGAATCCACTACGCCTCTGATAAAATGTAAATATTCATGAATGAGCTCCTCACAGTTGTCCATAATAAACACTCTACAGACATACAACTTGATGTTATTTTTCTTTTTTCGGTTCTCAAACAAGTCAAAAGGTGCTCTCCTTGGCACAAACAGCAGAGCTCTGAACTCCAGCTGGCCTTCAACAGAGAAGTTCTTGGAAGCCAGGTGATCCTCCCAATCATTAGTCAAGCTTTTGTTGAATTCTCCATACTCCTCAGTAGTTATATCGTCGGGATTCCGAGTCCAGATGGGCTTTGTCTTATTAAGCTCTTCCTCGTCAATGTACTTCTCCTTAATCTTTTTCTTTTTCTTCTTGTCACCATCTTTTTTGTCATCTTCCTCTTCATCAGATCCAACATCTTCAACATCTTCAATCTTCAGTTTCCTCCTTTTCTTCCTCTTTCTTTTCCTCCTTCTCTTCTTCAGCTTCATCATCACTGACTTCTTTATTTCGTTCCTTTTCCAGAAAAAGTGTAGTAGGGTAACCAATGAACTGGGAATGCTTCTTCACAATTTCCTTGATCCTTTTTCTTCCAAGTATTCAGACTGATCCTCTTTCAAATGCAAGATGACCTTGGTTGTCTACTTTTACAGAATGATCCACCAGCTGAAGACTCCCAGGCGTACTGATCATCATTATTGTGCTTGGTGATCACCGTAACTTTCTCTACAACAAGGTAGGCCAAGTAGAAACCAACACCAAACTGGCCAATCATTGAAATATCAGCCCCTGCTTGCAGAGCCTCCATGAAAACTTTGGTTCCAGACTTGGCAACAGTACCCAGGTTGTTAATTAGATCTGCTTTGGTCATCTGAATGCCAGTGTCAATAATTGTGAGGCTGTGATTCTGTTTGTTTGGAATCAGGCTAATTTTCAGCTCCTTTCCAGAATCCAGTTTGCTTGGGTCTGTCAGACTCTCATAGCGGATTTTATCCAGAGCATCAGAAGAGTTAGAAATTATTTCTCTTTATTGGAATAGAATGTGTTTATAATCAAGGACATCTACTGAGCAATTTCAGCCTGGAAAACAAGCGTCTCCACTTCATCGTCCTCCATTTGTAGGTCCTGGGTAGAAGTTTTCACTTCTTCTGGCATCTTTATGCAAGTCCGCTTTAATTGGCTCCTGACGTCACGGTGTGAATACACTGCAAAGCGCACTCCCTACCAGGTATTTTTAATAGTGACAGCTTACAGCATCTAGTATTTACCATCAAGGTTGAATCGTCCAAATATATTTACTAAATATAATAAGCCAATTGATTGGTGTGGTTTAAGCAAAACACAACTCAAGTCTGTGCTTATATAAAACAAAAATCATATCAACGTTTATGTTGTACAGCAATATTTGCCAGTTAATTTTATTACAAATACTATTTTAAAAATGCATACTTGAGTTTTTTAACACTTCCTCCCCAATCGGTTTAGAGTTTATTGTGTAGAGCACATGATAAATATAAGAAATATTGACTAGTATCACTAAATATAAAATGTTTTTCTTTTTCAGGAAAATATTAAATCAATGCTTCCTTTTTCCAGACTCGACTTTGTAAACTTACGTTTAATGTGTTTATTGGACAGTAAATCACCATTATTCTCCTGCCATAGATCCTTATAAAACCAAGGAGTGCAAGCTTCCATTTGAAATAAATGAAACTGCACTAAAGTAGGGCATTATTTAGATTGCAACTTACAAACTGAATTAGTATGTTCTATTTCTGTAAAGATATATTTGTGACTTGAGGTGTAAATTATATTTTTAGAAATAGATTTTTCCTAATGCTAGCGGCTAAAGTGTTGAAGACACATTGCTGTTTTAAAACTAATATTTGTTCAGCACAGGGGAATTTAATAATGATTCAAACTTCTTTTTAAAATTACATTTTTGTTTTATTTTTATACATGCGGTTTAGAGAATGTTAAAATTCTGGACGTCTGATTAACAAACTCCCATCCTTATAAAAAGAACATCTGTGATTTAATTCCTCAAGGACCAATGAAGTTATATGACTCCACTACAATCTGGTCTTGAAATATTTTGTCAGCATTAAACGTTTATTTAGCATCAGAGTTTGGAAGAGCCCTGGTATAAAATGATGTCAAATACATATCCCATACATTCATGAAATATGCACCGTTAGCTCAGCTCATCTTGGTGAAAACACTTAACTATGACAATTCAATCTTTTGGGCATCATAGAGTGCACGAAATAATGACATTGATAACCAGTGACTAGTATTTTCTTGTCTTGAAAAATGGAATGACAGACTGTTAAACCTTGCACTATAAGAATGACTTTGGTTTCTAAACTTTCTGTATTCATTTCAAATTAAAGATAATAGTAGAGCATGTTAGACATTTAGGACAAACTCTGGATTGTTGAACAGTGGCTACACCCCACCCTCCTGTTCTCTTAATTGAACTTTAATCACACATTGGAGGCTGATATCCCCTTCCAGAAGAGGGCATACTAGATTGCAGTTGACCGACTTCCATACATCTTGAAAGACACTGAACTTGTGGGATAATTATCTAAGAAGCAATAATGGGGGTAGCCCCTACTGATAAAGGATAAAAAACAAACAAAGGGGAAACAGTGTTAAACAAATATAACTTTCTATTAGTACTATCTTAAAATCAGAATAGAAGCAGTTCGAGTAATGATATATATATATATATATATATATATATATATATGTGTGTGTGTGTGTGTATATATAATATATTTAATATATATAATACATTATTTATTAGGCAATTGTAGTTTATATATATGTATATATAAACTACAATTGCCTAATAAAGAATGTACACAGTGAAAATGGTGATTGTCCACAGCTGAAACAATTATTGATAGAAACATCCTGCAACAAAAGTATCAAGGCTGAAACAGTACATGTTATAGTAAAGAAATTCCCATATAGCAATATGCTACAATGCTACAATGCCGATAGTATACACTATCCTGAGAACACCCTACAATGCCGATAGTATACACTATCCTGAGAACACCCTACAATGCCGATAGTATACACTATCCTGAGAACACCCTACAAGGCCGATAGTATACACTATCCTGAGAACACCCTACAGTGACAATTGTATATACTATCCTGAGAACACCCTACAGTGCCGATTGTATATACTATACTGAGAACACCCTACAGTGCCTTTGAAGGAACCTACCATTTAAATAATTGGACTAATTAACTCTCTGCTTCTAAATATCCCTAATCTCATATAACAATAAAGTAAGTGCAATCAGTTTTTGGGGCCGCTTCTATCAAAAGATTGGCCAAAAAATAGATCCCCAATCCTATCTGTCGTTGAATTCTCACAATGCTTTGCTAGCTGGAATCTACCATTTGCCTATCCTTGCAGGGTTTTATTTAGCACTAAGCAGTGTTTCTGTGTTTGTATGTAAGCATGTTTTTGTATGGATTATCTCTGTGTTAATGTATGAATGTATTTGTGTGTAGTGTTGTGTTTTTTGTTTACTGTTGCCATTTGAAAGTGGTGGTTTACTTGTACGTAGTGTTTGCCTTTGAATGCAGGAGTGTATTTGTATGTAGTGTAGGGCATTTGAATGCTGAATTGTATGTATATACATATATAACTTTTCACACACACATACACAACACACACACAGAAACACATGCAGATGCAGACACATACTGACCCATATCCAGAAACACTGACACACAGATACACACAGGCAGATACACACAGGTACACACACTGACACACATGCAGGTACACAGACACAGACTGACAGATGCACACATACAGATACACACAGAAGCCGATTCACATAGGGCACACACTGACACACATGGAGATACACAAATATGCATAATGACACTCTTACAGATATACTGGACACATGCTGACACACATACAGATACACAGATGCACAGATACAAGCAGTGACAGACCTACAGATACGCAGATGTACAGATGCACACTGACACATGTGCAAATACACAAAAACGCACAAACATGCACAGATACACACACTGACAAACATGCAGAAATACAGAAATACAGATTCACAGGCACATACCAAACTCATACACATGCAGATGCACAGACACACATTAACACACAAGCACACATATACACACACTGACACACAATAACACACATACAGATGCACAGGCACATACTTACTTTTCTCTGCCAATCTGAATTATCATATTTGGCACTAGTGTAATTAGTTCATATGCATTCTAATTCCTTATTAAAATATTGATTCAATGTTACAGCCTGGTAGGTGAATGTAGCTGCTTTAATATCATTGTAATTTAATGTATACATTCACATATTGTTTGTATCTTAATTAACATGTAATAGTTTTATTTAGCTATATATCATTTTTTCTTTCTTAATATGTATATGTTCTATGTGCTACCTTTACTCTTTAATGAAAAAAAAATCAAAGTGGCATTGCTTTGTGACAAATATTTTTGTCATTTCTGTTTCTCGCCATACATAATCTATTTGGTTGGATAATTTGCAAACATTTATAAGGAAGGTTATTTGCTTGCATGTACCTAATTTTTTCTGCAAAGTTTGACAAAGTAAGCATTTTGCACTGTGCTTTTTTACCCACAAAGAAAATCTTCACAGTAGGAAGTCTATTGCTTTGAAATTGCTTGTCTGAATTTTGCTATAATTTATGACCTTTCATACCGGGCAGACTTGTGTACGCATGAAATATAAATTGTTGTGTTGCCATGTCTGCTTTAAAGAATATACTTTGGTTTCTGTTGTGTTTGGTACTGGACTATGATTCAGTAATTATAACATTTCGCAAATATTGTAAACACCAACACATCAAAAGGCATACTAGTTATAATCTCTTGGAAAAAATCTAGCTAATTAGTCAACCAATTAGTCAACCGTTTATGAATTCATGGAAATGATTATTGAACATATTGAAAAGCAGAGAGGTATTAATTAAATCCATTAATACAGTTGTGTATGGCTTTATAATTCGTCATATGCCTTCTATGATAGTCAATTGCTGTGATAAAAAAATCAATGCGGTCTAGCACAAGCATGTACTGAATACGCACGTATATAGTCACAGTTAATGCTGTAACTGCTTTTAAAGGCTTGTTGAATGTACCATCAAAAAATTCTACATGATTGGAACCAAAGCATATTTCAATGTCATAACGAAATCCCAATAATTCACTTAGTCAGGTAAATGTAAAATGTCAAATGATAATACGTCGCTGAACAAAAGCATTTAAATATTGTAAGGATGTGCTGTTACACATAACGTGTGAAAAAGAACATGGCAAACTGTCAAGTGATATTTCCTCTTAGGAGTTTATAGACATTCTGAAGCTTTACTCTTAGAACGGAAATGAGACCTCAGAATTGCCATTAAAATACTCATGTGCACCATGGTTGGTTGCCAGAAAA